AGCCGCCATTTTAGTAGTGAAAAACTTTTAAAATAACGTTTTTTGTACCTTCGAACCTAACTAATAATGTACTTTATATTAAATTTTGACCGGTTTTAGTATACGCTTGGAAAAAAATTCCTAAAATTGGCCTTTATTTTGTACGTCCATGGTGGCCTTACCCCTTAAGAAGTGTCTAAGTTCACAGTGAAGGTCATCATTTTGTGTACTCTTTCATATCCTACAACTTTTGTCTGAAACATTTTTCTCCAAAATGCTTTGTCTAAAAGCCTATTCACATGCAAAGATCCATTTTGAAAAACACGGTATAAAATGATAACTTTGAGGCTTTATAACTTGGCAACAAAAAAGTAGGCTCAATTTGAAAGTTTCAGAGGATTAGCGTTTCATGGTTTACTATCATTTATCACCAAAATAATGTCCAGAATCGAGGGCGAGAATACAGGCCACTTTTGAGATCACTCTTTATTTTTAATTTCTATTTTTGTACTTTTTATTATGTAATTTTATGTTTTATAAATGCAGAAAATTATAACAAATTTCTTTGAATTCCCAAAATGATTAATCTTTTTTATTTCCATCTATTTCTTAATCTATTTATTATTAGAAGTCATAATTACAAATAAATAATAATTACAATTAAATAAGTGGTCAAAAATTTTGGGTAAAAAAATTAATTAACAACTAGCCAAAAACTAGCCATATCAGGCGGATCAGTAAATAATAGTTATTATTTTCTAGTCAATAATTGGTTACTGATCCGTCTGACTTGGCTAGTTTTTTATTAATTTTTAGTAGGAGAGATAGGCCGGTTCTAACCCAGGAGCTCCGAGGGGGGAGCGGGGCGGGGGGGAATTTGCGGGGGGGGATGACGTCACAGGGGGTAACCGCCGAGATGTTTATATAAACATGGGCCATGTATGTTTACATAAACATTGATAGCGGCGGGCTCATTGAGTATAAACATGGGCCATGTATGTTTACGTAAACAATGATAGCGGCGGGCTCATTGAGTATAA